TGCTCCAAGGGTGGTGAAGGAGGTGTCTACTGTAAAGGCAAACAAACAACAACAACAACAACAAAAAAAGGAAAGGAACAGCCTGACAAGTTTGATTACATAAACCTTCTAAAAGTTCCTTAACAAAAAGTTCTGTAAAAACAAAACAAAATCACCATAAATAAAAGGAACAGATAAATTACAAAATGGAGGAAAATACTGGCAAGATGTGCCTTTGCAATTCAGTAACAGAAAGAACACCTGGATAGAAAGAAATGAAAACATAATTTAAAATTAGTAAAACAATATATGAAATAATATAGGGTCCGGCAGAAGTAACGCCTGCTTGAGTGTGGTTGGTGGGGTAATAATACAGGTGTAACAGTTTATAGTTTTAATTTGAACATTTCACCTAAAATGTCATACGGTGTACTTGAGTGTTATATTGTTAGGTTGAAGAATTGCATGCTTATGATTTTGTAATAAAAGATTTTTTAATAAAGGAGTATTTGTACCAGACCCTGTATATACAACATAAATGTGTAAATATATGAAAATATTTGACCTTGTCAATATCACAATAAATTTATAAAGGATCTCTAAATATTATTCTTCTAGTGCTATCAAAGGTGTGGTAAAAACAGGCACCCGTGGAAATATAAACTAGGCCAAGCTTTTTTAGCAGGCAGACTGGCAATATATATAAAGATCCTTTAAAAGTCATAACCTCTGCTTCAGTGATTCTTGTGTAAATTTATACTAAACCAATTACATATATTTTTATAAGGATATTCACTAAAGCATTTTTTCCAATAGTGAAAACTAGCAAACTTAAAAGTTCCAACAAGGAACAACTGGTTTGGTGAAGTGATGCTCACAATATGGCATGTGAAGAAAAGTGAGTTGTTAATAAACCAATGTATTAACAATGGTTGTCTCTGGGCAGTGTGATTGCTGGTAGTATTTATTTTCACAAGTTTTCTGATACAAACTAATTTTATAATCAGAAAAAGGTTATTATATGTTGCTAAATGAAAAAGATTACAAAACCGTAATATACAGTATGATTCCACACTTGCTGTTTAAAAACATATGCATATACAAATACTTAGGTAACATGTAAAATAACTCCATTTGAGTAGTTCTTAGAATGAATATGTGTTACTTCTGTAAAATGAAATGTCAAAGGAGAAAAATGTTCTCCTGTGTTTTATGAGGAAGGGCCTCATAATTCTTGATCTCAACTATCTTGACCTGTTGCTGTGGGTCTACTTCCCTCTGAGTCTTTACTCTGAAAGCCCTCCTATTTTACCCTCAAAAGCAGATTTCATCTTTCCCCCTCAAACCTATCTTAAGCTGCTCTTTCTGATGCTTGGCTCTCACGTTCCCCAGAAATGGTTCTGGCTACCCTTAGAATCCAGGTGAGATGAGGAACAGCACTAAGGCGGTGGCACTAGGGATGAAGAGGTTGGGCTGGACTTGGAAGATACGTCTCTGGTAGATTTTAGTCCCTGGTGGTGAAAAGAGGGAGGAGCAGAGATGTCCGTACAGCTGGGTGGATGGATGGTAATCAAGAACACAGGAGAGAAGCAAGTGCAGACAATGCGCTGAGTTTGACACAGCCACAGCCCTGGGGGTTGATGTTCTATGGTTGGTTGGTTCGATACGTGGATGTAGGAACTTCAGACAAGGCCTAGATTTGGGGATGATGAACATATGGATGAGCAGGAGTTGAAGTCATGGAAGTAAATGAGGTCAGCCATAAGGGGGAGAGAACAACGAACATGGCCCATGGAGAGAGTCTTTGGGATACTCTCTTAAAGAGGTGAGAATAACTCCAAAAAAGGAGGGTGAGGAGCAACTAGACTTCAGTAGCTGAAGTACATGAGTTAGGAATTGAAGAGTCCACAAACTGATGGGCTACCAGGTTTTTATAGAATACTGAATTAGTTGTCAGGATGTACAATTAGGTAAATTTTTCATAAATCTGGATTCCTCGCTTCCTTCAAAAAAATTAAAAGATCCACCAACACTGGGCACTTATTGTTGCACGGCAATAAGCAGCAGAAACTGAATAAAAACTAGCTCCTTTCGTCAGGGCATGAGCTATCCCTTTTTGCCTGGCCCCTGGTGTAGAAGATGAGGAAGTACTGTACTTCCCTTTGCAAATGAAGAAGTCCTTATTAGTGTTCATCTAGAGGTCACCAAAATACAGGCCCGAATTTGATCCATAACGCCCATGTTTGGCTGAAGGCAGGAATCCTGGGACAGACAAATTTCAATTAAGGATCCTGTCACATCGGACTGGGACTCCCCCTTTCCCAGCCAATCTATGGGGGCAGGCTCCCCTCGCCGACACTCCCAGGTCCAGCAGCGCTCTCTGGACGGGCTTCTCTTCTGGGCAGCGTGTCTCCCCAGGGGCTGACGGGCTGCTGGAGCCAGCCAAGTCCCCCAGCTGAGAATGTGCTGGCTCTAGTTTCTAGATTCTCAGGCCACACTCCCTGAATGGGTCCACCAGATGGCAAGCAGCCTTTTCTTTCCTCCAGATTTTGAGTTCATTCACCCCACCTGAGAAAGATGACTTGCTGTTTTTCTGACAATTGCTATCCTCTCCAGCAAGATTAAAAAGCAAATCAGTTTTGCATTCTGCTCGTGAAATATTTAGTTCTGTCTACTAAAATATTTTCTTAAACCTTTCTTCAATTATTATACAATTAGGTATTGTCTAAGATTCATTACCTAATTATCAGTTATTTACATTAATTCTGATCCAACATGTACATGCACTAGACATTTTATTTTGTGGTTTCACTGACTACATAATTATCTGCACTACTGCCAAATGCAAAATTCTATGAAGATTTGGTAGCATAAATTAAGAACTAATTACAATTTCACTTACTAAATCTAGCTCATTGATCATAGGTTGGAAAATGATATTACCTTAAAGTGCTAAGTTGTGGGGCTGGGTAAGAGATGCGCGCTCTCTATCTTCCCTGTGTCAAATAATTGACGTCTCCTTTCCTAGAGGTGGATCAAATCAGCCTGGAAGTTTATGTCCACCCTAAATGCAGCACTTGTTCCAAAATTTGAGATTTGGTCTTGGATCTCTGAACCTGAGTCCGAATCCCATTGCTCTGCCTTAGCTCTGTGAAGAACCTTAGGACAAGTCACTTAGGTTCTCTGAGTTTCTATTTCCTTAAGCTATCGCATAAGGATACCACACCACTTTGCAGGGTTATTAAGTGCAATAATTTATACAGAAGATAGCCAATCAATATTGTTCATTCTCCAGTACACGGAAGCTTGGGTTTTCGCTCTTGGTCAAAAAGCGGTAGTCTACACCTGCAATTATACACCTGAGGCCCTGGTCTTTTCACTTGAGTTTATAGGAAGATTTCCTGACTAGAAATTGAAAACTCAAAAGAATAAGAAGAGATGAACAAGTTGAGAAGCCTACTCTTTGTCTACATATGCTTCCAGATGTTTCAATACTTCCCTCACCTAACTGCTGCTGTAACTCTGGGAAGCAAGAATTCCTCATCTTACGCGTGAAAAAGCCAAGGCTTAGTGAAACTGACTTACCCTGTAAGTGGAACTGGAACATGAACCGAAGTCTGACAAACTGTGAAGCCTGTGCTCTTTTCTGTTTTTCATTCCCTTAGGGTGACTGGAAAAGCATCTGGGGTTTACACATCCACGGCCCTCTTAAGAACATCACGTGCAAGCCAATTCTGCCAAGTTCACCTGCACTTTCTGGCTCATTCCTTCTTGTCTCATTTCCCAGGCTCATAATAAGCACCAGTGATCCTCCGCTTCCCTGAGGAGAGCCCAGAGTCTCCGATGTTTCTGCTTGAGCTTGAGATAGGCGGGTGGGCTACACCTCAAAGGGCATTCAGCCGTGCAAGGCCTTCACTCAGTCACAACACAGTCCCCCAGAGTAAAAGCATAGCCTCCAAAAGGCAGCATTAGCTGTTCCAACCAGCAATTAAAATAATAAACTGCTGTTTTAGTCATTTGGGTGAGTCACAGCAGAGGGCCTGAATGCCTCTGCGGAGCAGACTGGGAACTCTGGAAGGCGTGTGAGGCCCTGCTGCTTGCGGGGTGAGCCCCACGTGGAGCTAACACTGTGGTGGCGTGCGCCACCAAGGGATTTGTACTTGTGAGCATTAGAAAGGCTCAAGATCACCAATGCTCCAGGAGGCAGGAGACAATTCATTCCACCAGTAAGCCTCTCCTGGGTTTTACTGGGAGTACTGCCCATTTGGCAAACCCAATCTCCTAAGCACCAACTTCCCTAAAAAACACGTGGTCAGGTCCTTTACCTGGGGTATCTCCTGGATGGCGGTAAAACTGCTGTACCTCTGAGAGTTTCCTACTCCTAGAGGGCTCCTTAGTTTTCCAAACTGGACTTCCTTCTAATGTGCAGATCTGCTGGGTGGCCACCTATAACATCTGACCCTGTGCCATAAAAATAAGGATGAACTTTTCCTTGAGCCCACACAGACCCCAGGGTTAGTAGTGTACATGCTCTATACAGAAACACCCCTTGTGGGAAAGGAGGCCCAGCTAACCTACAGAACACACACTACACAGAACCAACTATGCCAACTTTTGATGTAAACAACACAGTACATGAATCCTAGTCAACCAGTCAGACACACCAAAAGAATTTAAATACAAAAAGAACATTGAAAACAGTTTCTTTCTTAGAGCTCCCTGTTTCTCTCCCTTGAACATGAGGCTTTTTGAGAACTTACTGTTTAAGATTGCTAAACATCCCCTCCAGTACCCCAATTAACTAGACACTAATAAAAATTTGATCCAAAAGACTGACCCAACCTGGATATATTCTAGAGTAGCAGGACAGATGGAAAGAAAAAAATGAAGTGTCAACTAGGACCATAAATAAATATAAAAAGGCCGAAAGCTTATGCCCAAATCAAAAAGACCATGGGATAGTGGATTTTTTTCCTATTTTTATTTTTCAAATTTTATTTACATAAAAATATTTATCTAGGTAGCAAATGGGTATTTCAAGAAAATACCAAGGACACAATTTTATCCATTCCCACAGTGCAGCTAAGGTGCTTGATGAAAGGGCCAAAGGTGCCCCCATGTGGCCACAGAGGAAAATGCTGCTGTTTAAGATGAAGGGGCTAACACCTTCAAGGGGCCTCTGGTTTTCCAAGGGGTTTTGCATCTTTCCCACACTTTCACTCTTATCACTTGTAGAATTTGGTATGTTTGCAGCATAAGCTTTGATTTCTACCAAGAAGAGAGGTTTTATGTTTTAAATATTTATACTAAAGTTTTAAGTAATAAACATGAACTCTTAAGATCGGTGGAAACCCTACCAGACACGCCAACCCTGCAAGGACATGCAGCAATGTTCTGGTAAGTGAACAGCCGGGCAAGGATGTGGGGTGAGGCAACCAGACTGCTGGAAGCAAAGCAGATTCCAAAGAACAAAAGCAGCTTTAGTCCCCATTAGAAAACAAGCCCAGCTTCTGTTCCCATTTGAGTTATAGGAGATCACAAGCCAATGCCAGGGACTAGAATAGAATTTAAGATAATATCACAAAGATTTAATTCCATACCAATCCACCAACATGAACTTGATCTCTAGACATTTAAGGCAAGTATCATTCAACATGATACATGGGTCAATAACCTATTTCTTTAAAGAAAATAAATTATTTCCCCCCTCTACAAGAGGTATATGCTATCACATCACATATCCCACAATCATAAAGTATACGCATGCCTAAAAGAATTTTTATGTCTTATTAAAATGTTTTCAGTGTTCTCTCATTAGATAAACGATTCTCAGAGAAGGAAATGAAGACATCCAATTGCAAAAAAGGCACTCAGCTCTAGCAGTGGAAGCTTTCCTTGTCACATACTGTTTAAACTGTAAAAGAGCATTAACACAGTATCAATAAAACCTCATCCATGACACGAAGCCTTAAACCTGGGGCACTGAAACACAGACACAAGACAAATCATTTGTGCCTCTAGTTATGTAGCATATTCCCTGGGAATCTCTAAGTACTAGATCTAAACAAAGGCTAATACTGCGCCTGAAATACATTTTGAACAGGCAAGGAATATAAATAAATAAACTATTGTAATAACATGGAAAAATACTTATAAGGTGCTAAATGAAAAACAGAATATAAAACTGAAAACACCATGAGTACAACCAAAGTTAAACCCACACAATCACACACTCCAACTACAGAAAAGGAGACTAGAAGGAAATACTAAAATACCAGTAGTGGTTGTGTTTAAGAAGGTTGAGACTAGGGATGACTTTGTTACTGTTTTCTTTCACTTTTCCGAACTTTTAATGGGCATGTGCTATTCTTTTCTAATGAAATAAATAAACAAACAAACAATACTTACTGACCACTTACTGAATGAATAGCTGCCACCTAACTCAATTACCCTAAAATTCTCTCAAGGTAGAAACTGGGTTCGGGTCTGGCGTACGATCCAACGTGTCGCCAGAGGCAAGCGCAGCAGGATGGCTGGACTGGAGGAACTCAGGCCACAGGTTAAATACTGACTCTGTGTGACCGCGCTCAGGGCTGGTTTCCTCTTTCTGTCAAATGAGAGGTTGGACTAGAATAGTGTTTCCTAATCTTCAGTGGGTTACTGGTCACTCTAATTCAGGAACCCTTCTCTCCAGGAAAAAACAAACAACAAACAGAAAACCCCACATGCGCTCACAGAGCTATTAAAAACAATCCAGGAGGTTGATGGATTCTCTAGAGATTCACAGACAGGTTAAGAACAATGATGGGTTAATGTGTTATCTTCTGCATCTCTGTATCCACTGCCACAGTGAGGTATATTAGAGCCCTATTTCATGTCCTGTATCTTTGCTGGGGGCCTGGTCTAGCTACTGCCAACATATGCTGAGGTCATCAGTATTCTGCCCTAACCAACAGCCACCTTTTAAAGTATGGCTTAACTACTTGGCTCCAGTCTTCTTTGCAGATAATAAGGAACTCTGGCATCATACTAAAAAATTTCAGACTAAATAGAACACTGGGCTGCTGAAAGTGAAGCACAGCAGAGGGTAACCAAAATACCGAGAGAACAAAAAAAAGAAACTCCTTTTCCAGAGGCATTCCTGCTGAGCCCTAACATTCCGACTGGAAATGCATTTTAAGAACACGGTTACCTGGGCCTCCGAATTCTCCTATGCTAACAGTTAAGCACAGAGGGGGATTACCAAGGGCCCCACAAAAGACAGTTCTTTGATCAGCTACAACTTATCTGCCAATAGATGAGAATTTCTCAAGCATATAACTACTACTGCATATAACTATCTTGCTCCATTTCTTACTTCTATCATCATTCATCCATTCAAAGCCAAGAAAATATCTTCCCCAATCCCAGGATTCAAACAGGATGGGCAGTTTTCAATTCTGAATATTCTTATATTAAAAAACACAAAACAAAGCTCCATTTCAAATGGCACACACTAGTAAAACTGCTACAAGACAGTACTTCCCACAGGTTGGAGGTAGGGGTATGGCTTCATTCTGCTGTGTTTCAGTCACATGTAGGAGTTTTGCTTCCCTAACTGTTTATGAAGTGTCATCAAAACAGACATGAGTCAGCAAAGTGACGTTTTCAGGCGCTGCCCAGATCAGCCCTTCTGGCATTACTAAGTTTTCTCTCCCTGATTCTCCCACCACCTACCATCAGACCAGTTCTTTTTTAGGACTGACACAGGGGTAATCAATCATATGCACCCAGAGAAAGTCTTCAGTCTTCAAGGTGTCTCTAGAAGAGGACACAGAGCCTCTCTGCCCTGGTGTACTGCCTCGACTTGGGGGCTGAGACAGCATGATGCTCTATACAGTTCTGACCACGACCAGATTCCAAAAATAATCCTTTTGGCCTCAGAAGAAATCTAAAGCAAAGGTGAGCAGTTTAAGTCAGGTTTAAATTCCTTCTGAGTTTTCTGATGGCTTTTTGTTGATGCTGATAACCACAATTCTTCCTCCTGAACTACTATACTACATTGCCCTGAAACTTAAAAAAAAAAAAAAAAAGAAAAAAAAAAGGAAGGGGGGTTAAAAAATGAATTTTTTCTGTTTTTAAAGATAATGCCACATAATGCTCCCCACCAATAGGCCAATGGTAAAGTTCCTCTTGCCACCCACAGGCCACTCCAAAGCAAGGTACTCTACAGATCTTTCCTGATTGTGCCAGAAGTTTGGAGTTAACTAGCAACAAGTCTGAAAATTTGGTTACGTATATAGGTACAAAGCTGGTTCATCAAATCCCTGTTCTGACCCTCAACCCAATGCATTTCAACTAAGGCATCATCTACCTCCTTCTTAACGTTTATCAAACACTTGAATAGGTAATGTCCGGCCACTCCTTCGAGATGGTTCCCTTTGTCAGATACCGGGTTGCTGGACTGCTCAGAACCCTCTCCGTCCTGGGCTCCATTGCTAGAGCCTTTACAACTTTCCAAACCCTCCATCTCTCCCTTTTCCTCACTCCTTTCATCCTCCATGGGTTCTGGGTTTTCTTCCTGGGAAAGTGAGTCCTGGACTGGGCCATGGCCCTTCACAGGGGCTGACTCGCCTTCCCGCACAGCAGGCCCGCACGCTGACTCTGCTGACTCTGACTCGCCTTCCTGCACAGCAGGCCCGCACGCTGACTCTGCTGACTCTGCTGACTCTGACTCGCCTTCCAGCACAGCAGGCCCGCACGCTGATCCGCCTTCCTGCAGAGCAGACCCGTGCGGGGCACTCTCCTGGGGGCCCTGAGCCACATCTTGGCTGCTACTGCCAGACTCTCTGGGGGTGAACTTTTTCTCTTCCAAGGCTTGGATGACGTCCTCAGGAGCTCGAGGAACTTCTCTCAATTGTCTCACTCGTTCCCTTTTCTTTCTCCTTAAATGAATCCAGGAGTTTTCTATGGCTGTTAGGAAAAGGCTAACTTCTTCCTTTCCACAGGGAACTCGTTTATGCTGGACCTATTTGGAGAAAAAACAGAATTTTATAGGAAATCACTTTTCTACTCAGAACTTCTTTTTAAAAAGGAAAAAAAGAAAGAGATTTTAAGTACTTTTTCAATGTGCTTAACCAGGTACCTTCAGATCACTGAGAATTTTTTCAATCCATGTCGTTACAACTACGATGCCTTCGACTGTTTCAGGGCCCAAAGGGAATGCTTTGAGGAATAATTCTTTTATCACAGATTCCAACACTACAAATGTAATGGGCTTCCTTGGCTTCTCTAGTTTTCTTCGTTTACTTGGTGGTGACTAAAAGAAAAAGAAGGCATGGGAGAAGAGGGGAAAGTTATCCAAATAAGTTAATGCATTATAGCGAACTCAGCTAGGGAAATATCCATGACTTGTTACCAATCACAGAGCATTCAAAACACAAAGGTCTTTCTTTGCATGTCTGTTTTTAATACTTAACCGCAGAAAACAGATTTATCACCTCCTCATTTTACAGAAGGGAAAAAACTAAAATACAGAGAGGCTATGTAACCAGCTCAAGGTCACACAGGTAGTAACTGCAAAGTCAGGATGTGAACCGCAAACCCAGGTTCTTTCTGCAATACCATGCTTCTGGTGTTCTGCTTATCATATGCGACAACTCCTCCAATAACTAAATATCCTTATCTACCTGCGGCACCCCAAATGGGCTTGTGTAATTATTTCCTTCATGGCAATACAAAGACCCTGAAGGCACTGTGTTCTTTTCTATAAAGAACTTCATGGCTTAAAATCACGACCTTGTAGTCTGAGTTTATAGTTACTGAGTTTTGAAAGAAAGAAGCTGGTGAGCCATGGCCTGTGAGAGCACATGCTAAAAATAATCAAGGTGCTAGGATCACATGTGCAGAAGAGAAGGACAGCTGAGTCCTGCTTCATAGTAGAGCCAATCCAGTGACTGACTAAGCACCGCCTTTCAGTTGTGGAGAAGAGGCATCAGGACCAACGAGAACAGTGGATTTGAAAGCTGGTTCCACGTAATTCAAGACTGTCATCTTTCTTTCTATTTCAAGCTCCAAAAGTAAATTATACTCTACCCACTAGAGGGACTCAAGTTCCATTTTATAAACCAAATAACACTGCTGTATTTAAAATTTACTTAAGTAAAAAGTTTCTAAATATTAAAAAAAAAACGAACAACTCAGCCAAGACCAGATACATTACGGACACTTTATTTTCAGAGATAGTCTCATACTTGTTGACAAAACTTATCAAAGCTTTAAAAAAATTAAGATAATTCTAAGTTCATGGTCAAAATGAACAGATGAAGATTATATGAAGAAAGGCTCAAAAAGAGAAACACCTAGTTAGCTCTGTGGGTATTTTCCTACAAAAAATGAGCCCCTGCTAAATTGCATTACTGTTAACTCCAAATCTACCTGGAAGCAGCGACAGAGTACGTGCAAATACATACACACAAAGGTCTGATTACTTGGTAAGGCCTTCGAAGAACTAACCAGCAACTCCATACCCCATCCATATACAACAAAATAGCCATTTTATTCTCTGCTACAAGACTTGATGAGACAAACTCATTTTGACATTAAGACAACAGTATTGTTATTACTCAGTCACCTACCACAAGAAACACAATTTCCAGTGTACTGAGGGCCTAATATTTTGCACTAAGGAGGTTCAGCTGCAGGGGGTGGGGTGGGGTGGGGAGAAAGGTGGTAGTATAGAGGAGGGTGGGGAACAAGAATCAGACTCACTAACAAAATGAACAAATAATATTGAAACAGACTTGCAGATACAGAGAACAGACTGATGGTTGCCAGATGTGAGAAGGGTTGGGGACTGAGTAAAAAAGGTGAAGGGAATAAGAAGTACAAATTGGTAGTCATAAAACAGTCACAGGGATGTAAAATACGGCATAGAAAACATAGTCAATAATACTGTAATAACGATGTACGGTGCCAGGTGGGGACTGGAACTATTGGGAACACTTCGTAAAGCATGAGTGTCTAACCATTAAGTTGTACATCTTAAACTCATACAAAGTAATACTGAATGTAAACTGTAATTGAAAATTAAATTTAAAAATTGAAAATAAAAATAATCAGATTCCCCATCATACTCCCCAACACCCAAGGCTGTGACCACAGAGAGGCCACTGTGGCAGGGCAGTCCCCCACAGCCCTGCCAGCGCTCCAAGGGGCACCTACACATGGTGAAAGAGAGATAAAGGCCTTATCTCTCTTCTGACAGAGGTGATAATCCCTTGTGCTCACAAATTCCAACTAGCGAAGTGAAGACATTGCTGTTTCTCGTTTGTCTTGCTAGAGTCAGCCGGAAATACTCTGTCTCCAAAAGTAAGAATGGACTCATCATTTCTAGAACTTAAACGAGAGAAATGCATCCTCACCAAATCTAACAGGAGTTCTATCAAGGATCCACTTTCCAAGTTCCAAGGGAGTCAGAAACAACAAAAAAGACAATTTATTGCCCAGTTATCCCAGGACTAAAATGAAACTCTGTCTCAGATATGGCTCTTTTACCTTGTACCCTGACCCGGCTTTTCCATATACAATGATAATCGACAAATCTGGATACACGCATATACATAGGCTTAGAATTATTTTAGTTTTACTCTATTATACAATGTAGGTACTCAAGAAAGATAATTTGTACTCTCAAAATTCTCAAGCAAAGTTTTTAAATGATTAAAGATCAACTTAAACCTGGCTTATAGCAACCACTCCCCTCCCCCTCATGTTTGTACTGAAAATTCTTAGTAGGCAGGGCCAGAATAAAATACAGGAGCAGGTCTTAAGAAATTTATTTTTTAATACATATTTTATTGATTATGCTATTACAGTTGTCTCATTTTCCCCCTCCCCTTTATTCTCCTCCGCCTGGCACCCCCCATCCCACTTGGCATTCCCCCCACTTCAGCTCATGTCCATGGGTCGTACATATAAGTTCTCTGGCTTCTCCATTTTCTATACTATTCTTAGCCTCTCTCTGCCTATTTTGTACCTACTATTTATGCTTCTTATTCCCTGTATCTTTTCCCCCATTCTCTTCCCGTCCCCCATAATCTCCATTTCTGTTACTCTGTTCCTGTTCCAGTTGTTTGCTTACTTTGTTTTTTGTTTTTTTTTAGGTTCAGTTGTTGACAGTTGGGAGGTTTTTTCTTATCATTTTACTGTTCATAGTTTCTAAGCCACAAACTGAATGAAATCACCGGGTTCTCCCTAGTATCTGCAAGAAAAGGAGGGAGTCATTCACTACAGATCTGCTGAACATGAAGCCACAGCCTCCTTCTTCTGCCAAAGCAGCTTCTAGAATGGTATGGAGGAGAAAGGAGCACTTACTGCACGAGGAGCCTTGCTGCTCTGCTGTACTCTGAAGGACGACTGCCCCAGGTCCCCCAGAAACAAGCAGAATGTCTGTGAGCCAGGAGTCAGCACAGGCCATCTTGTTTGTTTGTTTGTTTTGAGAAACAGAGCCAAGGGGCCAACACTGACACATGTATGGAACACGGACAGGAGGTAAGCTGGGAAGGACAGCCAGACTATCTCACCAACTACACCTTAATCAACTGTGCATCTTCTCTGCTGCCATAAAGTAAACTAGATATTTTGCTGTCTAAGGGTATAGCCTCCTTATTAACAGTCCAGTGGGCATTTCTACTATTATCTTTATCTGATGGGTCACTGTTCAAAATGTCCTGATCATCCCTGGTATATAGGTAATAACAGTAAAAAGGAAAAAAGGGGAAGAAAAATTTATGCAGAATGCTACCTACCTGAAAGGGAGTGTTTATAACTCTATAGGTGCCTTTCCTTATAGTAAAAAATAAACAGTAGAGACCAGTGTGGCTGCGTTGGCTGGGCATTGTCCCACAAAACGAAAGGTTGCCAATTCGATTTGGGTTGCGGGTTCAGTACCCAGTTGGGGCTCGTACAAGAGGCAACCAATGGATGTTTCTCTCTCACATCAATCTTTCTCTCCCTCCCTTCCTCTCTCTCTCTCTTTAAAAAAAAAAGTGGAAGAATAAATGATAAAATTGTTTAAATAGTAACCATGGAGTAGTGAGGGAGCAAAAGAGGCAAGAAAAAGAAGCCAGGCTTTTGACTACATCACCTTTTTAAAGATCTGATACTGAAACTATGCAAATATATTTTACAATTACAAAACAAAATTAAATAATATGAAAAGATAATATCTATCCACTGTGAGATTGTTCCCAAAGACAAAAAAATGAAAAAAAAAATTTGTTATTTCCACAAATGTCTTTGTTACTGGTAATGCTGAGACCTGTGGTGTATCGGTGGGTTAAAACAAATGGCAATTCTGTTATATAGTACGGTTAATGGCTGACCCTACTGACATGGGATTTTTTCATTAGGAGATACAGATAAAATGGTGATATTAAGTAGAAACTGAATAGAAAGTACAGCATAAACTTATAATGTATTTCACCTTTAAAAAGAAGATAATTCTGCTTTGGCTGGTGGGCTCAGTGGATTGAGTACCAGCCTGCAAACCTAAAGGTTGCTGGTTCAATTCCCTGTCAGGGCATGTGCCTGGGTTGCAGGCCAGATCCCCAGTTGGCAACCGACTGATGCTGCTCTTGCACACTGATGTTTCTCTTCCTCTCTTTCTCGCTCCCTTCCCCTCTCTCTGAAAATAAATAAAATCAAAAAAAGAAAAAAGAAAAACCTCTGTCCTGACTGGTGTAGCTCAGTGGGTTAGGCATCATCCCCACAAATCATAAATCGTAGAGTTGCCAGGGTTGTAGCCTGGGTCCCCGGCTGGGGGCATGTGAGAGGCAACTGATCAATGTTTCTCTTCACACAGATGTTTCTCTCCCTCTCTTTCTCCCTCCCTTTACCCTCTCTTTAAAAATAAATGAATAAAATCTTAAAAAAAAAAATTCCTAGTTCTATCCACTGAAAAAGCCTAGAAACAATGACCAACTCAGTAATGGCCAACTTCGTGCCCACGTAAGTACCTCTAAATACCATTTCCCACTAAAATAAACTAGAGGTCCTTGAAGAAACAGTTGATTCCAGGTCTGGGACAGAAAAAGATATGGGCCAGGACAACCTGTCACATTAGAAAGCAAAGAAGCTACCCAAGACTATCATGGTAACAATAAGACAACTCAGGAGTCAACTTGAGGGAACTCCCGAGGGCCAAAGATGGACAACCTGTGCATCCATAAAGATAATAAGTGTAATGGATTGAAATATACTGAAAGTGGCAAATCCATGGGTTCATAATACTCCAAAAACAAAAACTAAATTACCCTC